ATAAAGTCTCGCAAGTGTCAGCTTTCTTTTTATAGATATAAAAATATGGAAATGTACTGATACGTGAACAGAATCATAATATTTTTGATAGAGGCAAAATTTCCCCGATTCAAATCGATTCAAATCGAATCGATTCGGGACCTGGTGAATTGGAATCGAATCGATTCTAGAAATCAGGGGAGTGGGAAGGGAAGTCAGACGGCGAGGCTAACCGACCGCTTTGGATTCTGAGGTATCTCATTGGACGAGCTGCTCAAGCAGCAGCTGCGATGCAATGCCTCTCCCAGCAGGAGGTGGGAGGTGATGAGTCACTGAGAGCTAGGACCACAGGTCAGAGCCAGCATCCATCACACCTGATCCCTGAGCCTACTTCAGGTAAGTCACCTGTGTCTCTGCTTGCAGGAGGACAGCGTCTCTGAGCTGAGGCAGCAGCTGATTGGTCAGCAGGATGTCCGAGGCTTTGTTGTGGATGGATTCCCCCGAGATGTCCATCAGGCTATGAGCTTCCAGGAGCAGGTACAGACCAATCGTAAAGCAGGACAACAGTGAAGATGGCTGCCAGAGAAACTGGTGTTCTTACTGAACCGGAGCCATCTTCCTCGACTGGACTCGACCAAAACTTTAAAGTAAAACCATTAAAGTTTCATTTTAGTGATTCTATCTTCAGGTGAGCTCACAGAAAAATGTGAACAAACCTGAAGAAATAAAGGTTAAGACTGCCCTCTCGTCCTGACAGGTCTGCTCACCTGACCTGGTGATGCTGCTGCTTTGCTCCAATGAGCACCGCTGTGAAATGTATGATTTTTAGGGTTTTTATTGAGCTCAGCCATCAGAGAGAGATGGCTTCTCAAAGATCCACCAGGTGGTTAATGATACTTATTGATAATAATCTCTGTGAGGACAGTATTGATCAGTAATTCATTGATTGATTGATATCTGTGTCAGATGCTGATGGTGTCGCAGACTGAAGCAGCGCTGACTCCACCTTCTTTAATGTCTCATCTGTGAATCAATATGTTCATGGATCGTGAATCACATTGAACTTCTGGGTTCCTGCTGTGTGTCACATGACTGTATCCTACATGTCTCATTGGTGGATGTTTCATTAAAGTGTTTGGAGATTAAAGTTATAGTTTGAAAACACAACGTTGTTTGTGCTGCTGTGATCAAAGATCTGCTTCATTCATGGATTTTAAACCTCTGTGATCAGCTTAGCGTGAAAGATGAAGCCGAGCTGCAGCTGCGCAGTTATTTCCAGACTGAAGGACACAGAGAGCATCATGGGACATCGCCTCTTATCACAGCTGGAATGTTAATGACACATGAGGCCACATCACCTCAGAGATAACGAGACACAAATAAACTGAACTGAAAGGGCCGCAGATAAAAACGGAGGGGAGGTGGTGTTACAGCCTGTGTTTAACCTGATGTAGAGAACTGGTTCCTCCTCAGTGTCTGTCTAGGTGGCGCTCTCACGTGGTGATGGTGCTCACTCAGTATTGCAGCACTCCCTGCTCCTGTTATGAAGCACAGTGATGTTTGTGTAGCTGATTCACCTGAAATTATACCTGTCACAGGTCATCCTGCTAGACCTCAGTGCAGCGTTCGATACTGTCGACCATAAAATCTTATTAGAGCGATTAAAGCAGCTGCAGGTATCACAGGTACTGCGCACTGAGGTTAATGATGGAGGTAAGTTGAACAGGCACAGTCGTCTTATACAAGATTTGAAATGTAAAAAAACAAACAAAACATTTTCAGAAATATTTGTGTCTGTTTTCTTGTTTTGTACTTGAACACTAAAGTGGCTCCAATGAGACGACAGCAGTGGCTCTCAGCTCATTCATGTTTGATGCCCCTGATTTAGGCAGCATCATTAGAAGACATAGCATACATTTACACTGCTATGCTGATGACACCCAGCTCTATCTGTCCATGGAGCCAGATAACACACACCAATGAGTTAAACTGCAGGAATGTCTTAAAGACATAAAGACCTGGATGGCCGCTAACTTTCTGCTTCTTAATTCAGATAAAACTGAGGTTATTGTACTCGGCCCTGAAAAGCTTAGAAATATGGTATCTAAGCAGATTCTTACTCTGGATGGCATTACCTTGGCCTCCAGTAACGCTGTGAGGAACCTTGGAGTCATTTTTGACCAGGACATGTCCTTCAACGCACATATTAAACAAATATGTAAGACTGCGTTCTTCCATTTGCAGTTAATCCAAGGCAGACAGAGAGAGCAGATTTCTCCTAGATTGGCTTCTCTTTGCAGATAAATCCAGAATGTAATTTAAAATTAAGGGCCTGGTATGCAGAGATTACTTCACAGATTGATGCAGAGGATAGCCGCGCTGTGAAACTGCGCTAAAAACTATTGATTAGCAGGAAACAGAAAAGATCCCAGAGTATGTGAAGGAGGAGGCGGTTTTCACTGATGGAGGCCTGAGGAGAGGTCAGAGGCTCCGGTTCAGACCGGCTCTGCTGCTTCTGGAAGTTTCTTATCTGCAGCCTCTTATCTCCTCTCAATGTTTCCATTCCAGGTTTCTTCCATCTTTGGTCGCCTCCTCTCTCCTCCCTGCCATTTGCTCCTGCCTCGCTCAGCCCACCGCTGGCTCCTATAAAACACCAGACAGTCACTTTCCATCTCCACCGCCAGTGCTCTGCAGCAACATGCCGCCAAAGAAAGTGGAACCGAAAAAGACAGAGGTGAAGAAGGTGGAGGCAAAGAAGGAGGAGCCTCCTCCTCCAGCAAAGCCCGCGGAGCCGGAGCCAAAACCCCCCGAGGTGGACCTGAAGAGCATCGTGGTGGAGTTCAGCCCCGACCAGATCGAGGAGTTCAAAGACGCCTTCGCTCTGTTCGACGAGACGCCAGCCGGCGAGATGAAGATCACCTACGCTCAGTGCGGCGATGTTATGCGGGCGCTGGGACACAACCCCACCAACGAGGAAGTGCTGAAACTGCTGGGGAGGCCGAAGGCGGAGGAGCTGAACGTCAAGCTGCTGGACTTTGACAGCTTCCTGCCCATGCAGCAGCATGTGGCCCGCTCCAAAGAGCAGGGCAACTTTGAGGACTTTGTGGAGGGGCTGAGGGTCTTTGACAAGGAGGGAAACGGCACGGTGATGGGGGCGGAGCTCCGCCACGTCCTCGCCACGCTGGGAGAGAGGATGACTGAGGACGAGGTGGATCGTCTGATGGCGGGACAGGAGGACGCCAATGGGCACATCAACTACACCGAGTTTGTCAAACACATTCTGGCCGGGTAGAAACAGACAGCGACTTTGTCTTCCTCTTCTTCTGTGGTGGACGGAGCGTCTGATGTATGCGAGTTTGTTGTCTCTAATAAAACGTCTTCTCAGTGTGTCTCTGTTTGATGTGATCAGCAGAGTAAGAATCAATGTGAATAAATGAATCGATGGAGGATCATCAATAAATGAATAAATCACTGCCTGCATTCATTTCTCCATGTCCTGCATTAATGTGTTTATTGAGTCATCAGTGTTATTACGATTCACTTTGCTCCTCCAAAATAAAACTTGCTCAGGCCTCCTCTTTATGGTGCTCTGCGTCTAATTATTGGGAATGATGAAAACACAAACTTGATGGGCGTGTCCACACAGGTGCTTCAACAGAAACGCCAATGATTGTGTTCCTGTTGCAGCTGGATGTGAGCCTCTCATCGCCTCCTCAGAGCTCCTCTCTCAGTGAGCAGCGAGGAAGGATGCCACCAACACCTGGACGGGGAGGTACCCAACCACGCACACACAGAAACACCCTCAATAAGACAAACAAACACAAAAATGGGCATTTAAAATATTTCACGCAAAAACAAAAAAGGAAATCAAACAAAGGGAAGAAATGAAGACGTAAAACTACAAGTGACCGACTCAAAGGTTTGTTCACGAGGTATAGTTACGATGATCTGTGTCGGTGTATCGTGACAAAGGTTCTGGCCTCCCCACACTGGCCTCCAATTGAATTTAGGATCCATTTTAAATGCTTTTACTGGTTATTAAAACCTGAAATGGTCCAGCGCCTGTATATTAGCCCCACGTCCCCCTCAGTCGCTCAGCTGAGCAGCTGTTGCTCTCAGTCACTAAATTGTGGCTGAAACTTAGAGACGAGCGTCCTCTACTGTGGCCCTGAAGCTTTGGGGTGATCTTCCTCTTCAGATCAGGCCTTTTTATTGGCTGGCCTTTGACTCAGTGTGTAACTAACACTGTTATTTTACTGTTATGTATTTACTGTACTTTTTATATTTCTGCTGTACAGCCATGTGCTGTTTTTAAAGTGCTATATACATGAATTATGGTTTGGCATGTTTGCTGCATCTTTCAGACTCTTTGCATCCATTAAAGGTAGAGTTCACGTTTGTAAAGACACCACCTTCATTTCATTTCCTGTGGACTGTGAGGGCTCATTTAGAAGATTCAACACCTCGACTGGTGGAATTATCTTCAGTACTCCCAGCACTCATTACAAAAAAGTGATTTCAAACACCTCTGACAGCCAGATACCAGCAGGTGCTGCTCCACCTGCACACACCTGGTCTCCATCACTGAGAACCTGAACCGTAGGAAGCACCAGCTGAAGTCTGCGCTCTGTTATCACGACTTAAAGACTAAATAATGAACTTCGAGGTCATTCGGTCTGCTTTATTAGATTTTCAGGTTATTGTTGAATCAGTTAAAACTGTTCAGTGTGATAATCAAACAGCAGCAGGTGAATCCTTCACTCAACCTGCTTCACCTGTGCAGCCTGCCGCTGTCAGACTTCCTGTTGGATGGAGGGGAGTCACAGAAGAGGAAACAGGAGGTCTGACACCTGATGTGACATCAGTCAGCTTTAATCAGAGATACATCAGTTAGCCGTTAGCTAAAAACATGAATCAGAGTCTGCTCTGGAATCAACGACATGCAGCCGAGGCTGAAAGTCCTGCCGATGTTTAACCTGCGAGGCTTCACCTGGGTCACGAGAAGGCATAAAGGATAACACCTAACAGTCTAAAGATGGCATCTCATTTCAGGTTCAAGGTCAGAGGCCATGTTTTTCTCACACGGACGGGTTAAATGTTTTTAGATAAACAAAGATCAGCAAAAAAAGAAGATTAGCGTAAGAATCAAGTTGTTTAACATGAAAAGGGTAAATGTCCCAAAACACTCAATACTACATCTCCCAGAATGCTACTGAGAGATTTGTTCAGCCAGTCAGAAGCTCAGATCAACCCCTCGTCTCTGGTTGGTCGGATCCGCTGCTCTGTGTTGTGACTGGCCAGCTGGGTGTAGAGGCGGGACTTGAGGAATCGTGGGTAACTGTCCGTCTCCATCAGGTTGAAAATCTGCTCCTGCGCCAGTTGGAAGGAGGCGGAGCTAACGCCAAGGCGCAGGCTCTGATTGGTTGCCTCTCTGATGGCCGAGTCCACATTGACCTTGAAAAAAAGCAGCTGTGTCAAATGAGCAGGTGGACCAACATGTTTGATTACAAGTCTTTACTTTAATACAACGATCAATAAAGTAAACAACCCGATGGTTTCAGGTATGAATTTAACCGAGCCTCTGGACTGTAATGACATCATCGTTGGAGGAATGCTTCATCACCATATTAGGAAAAAAAACCAACCAAAAAACACACATCATCCGGCCAATCGGAGCTCAGACACATGGTACCTGTCTTGATGCAGTCGTAGAAATAAAGTGGTCGTAGATTTTTGCAGCTCTGGCAGCCATCTTGTTGGAGGGACGTGTCTTTTTAAACCTCTCCACAGCCAACCAGAAGTCCAGGTTCTCTTCGCTGAACTCTGACCTCAGGAAGTGACGGAACACCGTCAGACCATCTGACCAATTAGAAAAGAGAAGCACGCCATTAATCTGGTGCCAAAAGGTTGATTCTGTCCATCTGGACGTTTCAATGGGAGAAATGTTTCATCATCATCATCATCATCATCATCATCAGGGGATGTCTTCAGTCTCAGCTGACTGCAGGTCTCAACCTTATAAACAGGACATTTGCAAGACCAAAGCTAGGAAGATCATGATGGACCATCCCAACAATGGACTCTTCTCACTGTTGAGGTCTGGGAAGCACTTCCGCTCCCTTAAGGCCAAAACAGAGAGAATGAGGAGGAGCTTCTTCCCCCAGGCTATTCAGGCCCTGAACCAGGTGTAGGACTGGACTCTCCCACACATCACATCACCACACGCACTCTGGTTTTTCTTCATGCACACTTCCTATAATTTATAATCTCTTTCTGTTATTTGCACATTTTTACTGTAAATTTCTAAGTTAAATCTGTAAATTTTGTAATAACCTGTAAATTGTAAATACTGTAAAACGACTGTCATCTAATGGTCGGGCATTGTACAGCTACAAGCATTTCACCTCATGTCATACTGTGTATGGTTGTGTGTGGGACAAATAAAAATTTGACATTTGCACAATGACTGAAAAAAGCAGCACTGAATGAACAATGGGCTGGGAGGTCAGCTTGTGATCATTAATATGCAAAGTGTCATGACTATTGATCAGAGACCACTGATCAATCACTGATCAGTGGTCTCTGATCAATAGTTGTTGGTTAGTCACTTGATGAGCGATGAAACGTTTCTCCCACTGAAACGTCCAGGTGAACACAATCAACCTCAATCTACTTACCTGGATGATTGAGCATGCATCAAGACATTAAACTAGTGGAGAGGCGTTTCTCATGCTGGCTCCTCCCCTTATTGGTTAAATTGGTTAAACACAAACAGGAAGTCTTACACTGATTGGACAGCAGGGACTTCAGACTCTCCGCCCACCTCAGCACCTCCTTTGCAGACGGTCTGGAAAACAAAACAAACGCATCTCAGGAAAACCTGCATTTCCTCTAACATCCACCAGAGGCTCTGAAGTCGTGCTTCATTCAGACTGTGATGTCACCTCCACACCACTGCTGTTAGGGCAGAAACACCGACATGCTTGGCTGTGATCACCTGGAGATTTTACTCTGATTAGTTATGACCTGTGATAATCTGCTGCCTTTCCTGACCTGCAGGTGAGTCTAGTTCGGGTTCAGGTCCGATGCTACCTGTTATTTTTCAGCGCTTTCTCCAAACTGCTTCCATGGACACCAGCGCCATTTTTCCACATTCGCAGAAACGCCAGGCGGCTCCGAACATCAGCTGCTCTGAGGAGACAACGAGGACCAATCAGAGCGAGAGGAAACAACACCAGACAAAACAACAATGTGTTTGTTTACGTACAGAGTTTTCTTCTTCAGCTGTCGGTTTCTGGGTTCTCCAGCCTGAAAAACAAACAAAAACACTTTGTTAGAACCGAAGAACCCGAGCTGTACCGGTCTCTAACCCCAGGATCTTCCTCTGCACATGTTTAAACCACTCCCACAGTAAATCTCCCTTTTACACTCGTCATTAACCTGGGCCTCAACCAATCAGCTTGTAGATTGTCTTATTGACGATTTGCACGTCTGATTTGACACCAGATGCCGTCCTGGTGCAGTCGCCCCTTTTGCCTGGGGCTAACTCTGACATGAGGCACAATGATCAACCTGCTGCTATGCGTTGTTTGGTCACATGACACTGGTTCGCGGTTCTGTGGTCAAAGCCGGTTCTGGTCCCTACCTTGGTCCCGTTGAGCAGCATCAGCATTTGGTGCAGAGACCCCCCCTCTCCGGTCAGCTGCTTCCTCAGAGTGTGGGGGGAGGGGGCTCGGGAGGCGGGGCTCGAGTTGGGGCTGAGGTCAAAGTTCACAGGACGGGTGAGGCGGTGGATGGTGCTGTCGGACAGGAAGTGGGGCGATCGAGGTTCTTGCAGCAGAGAACCCTCGGAGAGCGAGCGACGTAGGACTGAAACAGGAGAAAATCCATCAAACTGGGAACGTTTCCACCTGCAGCAGCTCTAAACCAGCTTCATCCTGCTTACTTCACATCCTCACGCGGACCCTCCACTCCCCCAACTCAAGACTTTTGACTTTCTTTCAGAGCACTTGAACTCACCTGGTGGTCTGAAGATAAACTTCTCTTCCTCCTCGTCACGGTCACTCTCCTGGTTCATGTTGAAGTGGTGAGGGCTGAGCAGGAAGCCCCGCCCCCCGACACCACCCGCGTTCTCTGAAGTCTCTGAGGCACTCTCCCCCTCCCCCTGTTGCCGCTCCTCCACCTCCTCTTCCTCCCGTCTCCTCTTCCTCCTCTCCTCTTCCTCTTCTGCTCCTGCTCTCTCCTTCCAGATAGGACTCCTTAGAGTGGAGGAGGGACGGTGAGGTGAAGGGAGGAGCTGAGCTGAGGAGATGATGTTCCTGGAAGGTGGTGAGGAGGAGTAGGGAGAGAGAAGGGAGACGGGAGCAGGAGGAAGAGTGGAGGAGGAGAAGGGAGCACTGGGGGAGTAAGAAGATGGGGAGGGAGGTCTAAGGGAGTCACAGAGCGAAGAGTAAGGAGATGAAGGACAATAGAGGGGGTCAGACTGCCCGAGAGAGAGGAAGCCAAAGTCTGAGGGGAGGTCTGACAGCTGGGGGGAAGAGGAGGAGGAGAGGACTTAAATTGTGTGGGAAAAGCTTTGAGTATTTCATGTGTTTGGCGACCTCTGCTGGACACATGTGTGAACTGGCCCTCTTCCTGCTTTCTGTGACTACCTGCACAGGTGTTGTACCTGCTGGGTGTGTGTGGCCTCCGTGGTGACGAGCTGCAGCTGGATGTTATCGTGGAGACACAGGCTGACTCGGACCTTCTGCTCGATGCTGAACGCCTCCAGGCTGAAGAGGCGGCGGCGGCTCGGAGCGCTCTGCAGGAAGTACAGGTGGAGCGGCTCCGACAGAGCTGCCACACACACACAGAGAAACGTCAAATCCTGTGCTCTGATTGGCTGCTACACTCTGAGATATGGAAACAGGTAAAGAGCGAGCTGAAAGGGGACCGGGGGCCTGTTCTTCGTACGTCGCTTACTACATCCAAGATCAAATGACACATCCAAGA